ACCCTGGGCCGCTGTAGCAAGGACTCAGCCTCAGTACATGGGTCGCCAGCTCTACCCACTGAGCTAACCTGGCGCCCAATATTCCCTTTTTTAATATTGTGCAACATAATTTGTCACGTGGCCATCCTGGTTGTTGATGCTGTCTAGCGTCTTGTCAGCCAATATGGTGAAGGACGCTTGAATAACAGTGAATCAAGAGTCACTATACAACGCTGCATCTCAACAATACAGTATGTAGGACCCATGACGTGCATTTAATGCAGATTATTAAGTAGAGTGTGTTTTTAACCACTGGATAGGATTAGGGTATAAATCCTGTCTCAGAAAGTACCCTAAGAAAGTGTCCTTGAAGCCCCAAAGCGTAGAACCTGTATGTGAATAAAACATCATATTATTCTGATGGCATACGTTTTTAACCCATTCATTTCCGCGTCCCCAGGCCAAAACTCTAAGAGCCACGAATGCTGTTAGCTGTCAGACTTTCTTACTGATGGTACTATTAAAAGTCAGAAAAGTTTAAAATGTTCACATCACAACCACAACAGCAGCTAGGTTTCCATTGAAAAAAATATATAATTATGATATACATGATGACATTTTTTTAGCAAAAATGCTAAAAATGCTGGTTCTAGCTTCTTAATTGTGAAGATTTTTGCTTTTCTTAGTCATACATAATAGTAAACGGAATATTTTTGGACAAAACAAGACATTTGAAGAAATCTTGTTGGGCATATTTAGCTGTTTCTTGACATTTTATAGACAAAACGATGAATTCTCAATTTATTGAGAAAATAAACGGCAGGTCAATCGATAATGAAAATAAGTTGCAGCTCTACATTAGTGTGTGGGCATTAAAATTACATCTTTTTAATAATCATTGTCAGGAATATATAATATATATATATAACCTTATATACATGAAATACAGCATTTATAGAGCAGAAAATGGTCTTGAATGAAATGGTTTGTCACTGTAAAGTTTCTGTGTCTGATACTTCTAATTGGCTGTCCTAGTCTGGGCAGGAGTAAACAATAATCAACAAGTGCTTGACCACCATCTGCTCTGATCAGTGGCCAGTAGTATGGTTTGGTCATAGTAAGCATCTCCAAAGTGGGAATATGTACAATGTGTGTGTTCTCATTAAAGTCCTTTCTCCTGTGTCTGCTTGTTTTGATAACGACATATTTTCACAGTCCACATCCTACTCTCCTAAAACTTCTCCTTTTTTCTGGTAAACTGAGTGTGATTCCTCACTGAGTCTGTGAGCTGGGTGTGACTCTAACTCACTGTTGGCTGTGTGACTCCCAGCCATGGCACTGTGACACTCCCCAGCCTGATAATTCAGCCTTGTATAAGACCTATCAGCACGCACACACAAACACGCACGCACATACACACACGCAC